TGGCTCTGAGCACTGGGCTCAGAGGAAGTCACTAGCCACACTTTGCTGACCTCCAGTCAGGTCTTGTGACTTCTCATGGTTCCAGGCTTTCATTACAGTCAAACCAGGAAGTGCTTCCTTTGTCATGACCAAGCCCATGCAGCCTTGCCGTTTCACCAGTAGGTCAAGGTCCAGGGGTAGAATCTTGAGTTCCTTTTGCCGTGTATCAGCAACTAAACCATGGCTGTCCTGGTGTTCACTCTCCAGAGACTGAATGGGGCAAGAAGGGTAACAGGGGCAGGTCATCCTGCCCTCACCCCACCCACTAATGCAGCCCCTTGAGGAGGGCCCTAGAGTGTGAGTGGGAGACACAGTTCCTGGCCCTCATTGCCTGTCCACTGTTCATTAAATCTAGTGTGAGCAGAAGTTTCCATCTGCTGCTCCACTGCACGTATCTTCATCATATCCTGCCAAGCTGATATAGTTGATGACTTTTAAAAAGCTCAACTACCTTTAGATTACTATATGCATTTTATTTTTACATATATTTGCTAGTTATTTTAATTATATAGTATATACATTTTATTACATTGTAGTAGAAAATATACTTGTGTTTTAGAAAATATACTCATAATCTTAGTATTTATTGATAACCACTATTATTATTATTATTTTTTTTAAGAGATGGTCTCACTATGTTGCCCAGGCTGATCTCAAACTCTTGGCCTCAAGTAATCCCTCTTTGGTGTCCCAAAGTGCTGGGATTACAGATGTGAGCCACAGTGCCTGGCCTCCACTATTATTATTTTGACATATTTTCTTCCAAAGTTGATTTGTAACCTTTTTCTACTTATGTACTTTGATATGGTTTGGTTGTATCCCCATCCAAATCTCATCTTGAATTGTAACTCCCACGATTCCCACGTGTTATGGGAGGTGATTGAATTATAGGGTATTTCCTGCACTGTTCTCATGATAGTGAATGAGTCTCATGAAATCTGATTGTTTTAAAAACGGGAGTTTCCCTACACAAGGTCTCTCTTTACCTGCTGCCATCCATGTAAGATGTAACTTGCTCCTCCTTGCCTTTGCCATGATTGTGAGGCCTCCCTAGCCACGTGGAACTGTAAGTCCATAAACCCCTTTCTTTTGTAAATTGTCCAGTCTCAGGTATCTCTTTATCAGCAGCATGAAAACAAACTAATACACTTTTTTTTAATAAAATAAGATTATTCTGCATGACCTTTTATATAGCATGTTTTTTCCCCCACTTGGCAATATGTTATAAACATCTTTCCTCGTCAATAAACATATGTCCATTTATGGTGGCTGTTCAATATTTCATCACATCTATGAGCCAGATGGATTCAACTCGTTTCTATTGTGAGGCACTTCAGGTTGTTTCCATTTTTCTTTTCTTTTGGAAAACATATAGAGACTATCTGTTTACATTTATTTTTGTGGACAACTTTTATTTCCTAAGTTCCTAGAAGAGGAGCTATGGGGTCAAAAGTCACAAACATGTACAATCTTGTCATAGATACTGCCAGCTTGCCTCCAAAATACCATCCTGTCTCCCCTCCCCAGCCGTGGTGAGTGAGCCACTGACCTCAATCCTCCATCAGGGCTGGTCTTAACTGCTATTTGCCATCTCTGCTAGTTTGTCTCAATAGCTTACCTTGGCCAAGCCCATGGTAGGCTTTCTCTGGAAGTTAGTGGGGCATTGGGGTTACAATGATAGGACAGTGCCCTGGGCCTTCCAGAACAAGCAAATCAGAGCCAGGGGGATCCCCCAGGCTCAAAGGACAGGCTGGCTTCGATGGCACATGGCCAGGGAGCGGAAGCCAGCCTTACCCCAGAAGTGTCACAGATAAAACTCACATTACAGTTTAGGCTGAGTCTTAGACTTGACCCCATAAACCTTCTCATTCCCCATCCGCAGACAAGAGGCACACACATAGACACACTCATCGATGCACAGAGGGACAAACACACTTGCATAGATATGCAGGTCCTAGTTGGCTATGTCTGTCCTGCCTTCCATATATTGGCTCCCATTTCTCTCTAGGACCTAAATCTAAGCCTGCCTTGGAAGGATAGGCTGTTCCCTAATTGTCACCTCTTCAAAAAGCATGCCCAATCTCCTGGAGAAAGGGAGTGAGTGGAATTGCCTAGAGAATGATCTGTGTGGGCCCTGGACCAGACCAAGAGATGGTCCTGCCAGATCCCCCCAGAGGGCCCCTTTCTGGCCTTTCTCCAGCCATGACCTTCCCCACAAAGTAAGAAATCCCCTGGGCCATAGGGACATGTCTTCTTAGAGTCCTGGCCTTCATTTTAGACCATGCTCTAAGTACCTGGGACCTGGAATTCCCTGAGTCCATGGTCTGAATGGGCCTCTTCCCTGATCACCTTCCTCAGAGTGAGAGAGGACCTCATCACTAGTGTGCACACTCCTGGCCTGGAAGTGACCAAGGGGCAACTGTGGGAGTGTGGATGCAGTTTGGACATGTGAGCTAGGATGTCTGCTCACAGGCATGTGAAGACCTCCCAGCATGATATAAGGCTAGAGCTGGGAAGAGAAAGGGGTCACACTGTAAACTATAGGTTGGGGACCAGCTCTCCCCAGGTCACCACACTTCAGCATAGAACTGAGAGTAGTGGCTCACCCCTATAATCCCAGCACTTTGGAAGGCCAAGGCGGTGGATCATCTGAGGTCAGGAGTTTGAGACCAGCCTGGCAAACATGATGAAACCCCGACTCTACTAAAAATACAAAAATTAGCCAGGCATGGTGGTGTGCTCCTGTAATCCCAGCTACTTGGAAGGCTGAGGTGGGAGAATTGCTTGAACCTGGGATGCAAAAGCTGCAGTGAGCCAAGATTGCACCACTGAACTCCAGCCTGGGCAATAGAGCAAGACCCTGTCTTAAAAAAAAAAACTATAGTCCAGGAATAATAAATTCAAATCTGGCTTTCTAGGTCATTTTTCAGGTCTATTTTTTAAGGTTGGAGAATTAAACATTTCATTCTGATACTTTGTTAGTTTGATTTATAACCTTTCAATGTTTCAACACATGCTATGTGGGCCTCCACTGTCCCTGTGTCCCTACAAATGTTCAAAGCTGACCTGAAAGAGAGGCTGGCAAGGCTCGAGCCCATGCTCAGATGTGGAGGAGAAACAAAAGTGAGCCTGTGAGCCAAGGCAGTGACGCCCCGGGCCCTGGCATGAGGAGGCTGCCCTGCTGGCGTGGCTGTGACGAACGCCTTTCTTTTCAGATCACTTTCAGGAGAGATCACCTTGAGGCCTGCCTCCTTTCCCTGGGTTGTGATGTGATGGCAAGAGAACGCAGCAACTTTGAGACCTACTCCATGTGCTATGAGCATGTGTTGTGTCATGCTAGGCAGAGGCTCAGTCAGAAACAGCAAGTAGGTTCCCCGAGAGACGAGAACTACAGTACAGAATGGGCGTGGGCAGGGAAGCCAGGAGGCACTCAGAAAAGTAAAACCGAGGGGGTTAATGTGCATATAGCGGTTCCTATGCCAGAATTGAGGGTGAACTGTACCCTCAAATTTCTTTTCTAATTGGCTCATTCTCTTGGGCTCTGGTATTCTCAGTTGCACACTAGCGTATGTGCTTTGGAGGTATCCAGTGGGGAATACAAAAGGTGAGCAACAAAGGGGCTGACCTTTCCACCCTTGGCAAACACAAGGCACCCACCATGTGCTGTTCCTGGTCTGGGAAGGAGGCCAGGATCCGTGAGTGAACTTTCTCTTCAGGATGCATGTCATGAGTCAGTCTTACTGATGAGACTTCCTTAAAATACGAGCCCACTGGTGGGACGGAGAGTCGCACTCTTGCCTGGGTTACACGCTATTGTGAAGGTAGTTTGCATCAGAGGTTTAATGTGATTTTACTTTATAGTTTAAAAAGTTCAAAAGTCTAAAAGACTAGCCAAAACACCAAATGAAGCATTACAATGTCAAATAATGTGCCTTGCAGCCACCACCATTTGGGCCTATCCCCATTACTCAATTTTCAGCATCAATGTGGATACCTGGAAGTCGATGTTGTCTTTTGAGGCTGTGTTAGGCATCAAAGTCCGGGGGACAACACACAGTCTTGGCTCCAGGCACAGCCTAAGGTTCTCAAAATGGGGTTCCATTAACACACATAGGAGGAGTTTGGAATGTGTTGTACTGACCTGAGCCATGGTTGGAAGACTGAATGTTTGAGTTTGGTTGTGTACTGCTTTCTCCTGCTCAGGAATTAGATGCTACACAAACAGGCCAGGGTCCACCTGAAGACAGTGCTGGCCAGGTAGGTCATTTCCTATGAAAAAGGGTCCTGTCTCCATTTCTCACACCCACACTCTCACGGTTAGCCAGCAATGGGATGCCTTAGTGTCATTTGCTTGCGTCACCTGTAGAGGTCCTCTCAATGAAGGTCCACTGAAGAAAAACCACGGAGTGTGCTTTTACTTTTGGTAAGCAACCCTCCTTACGGGGCATTTTTTTTTTCTTGAGTTTTTTGGTCACGTCTGTTATTTTGTACTTGTTTTGTTTTGTTCTGTTTTTGTTGTTACTTTGAGGAGTTTTGTGGTTGCTCGTTTTCTTTTGATGCCAGTTAAAGTGCATTCCAAAAAAGAAAAGGGTTGTTTGGGCTGAGGTGTCAAGGGAAGGCCAGTTTGGATACGGAGGCCAAGACAGTAGAAGTCTTTTTCTCCAGCTGAAAAGGGCTTACGTAGTGGCTTTTCTGTGGTTACTTATTCACCAACCATTTATTGAGCACGCTATGTGTCTGGCACTGTTCTGGGACTTTTGAATTACCCTTAAATTCTTCTGCCCGCATTTATGTAGCAGAATGTTCACTCTCATTAGGTTTAAAATAAAAGTGAAATTCAATACTGATCTATAAGAAGCTGTCTTATAGTAGTGGTTTGAAATTCCTGAATTTGTTTCAGGAAACAAACAATCTGAATTGTTTTTCTCACACACAGACACGCACATTTTCTCTGCTTCTAGGCTGCAGAGCTCACTCATGATATGATCATGGAAATCACTGCTCTGAAAGCCCAACTCACAGACTTGGAAGAGGTGAATCTGAATCTCAAGAAGCAGATTAGAAAAGACATCCAAGAAGAATATGAAGCATTGGTCCAAGCTTTGTTGAGACCTGTTTACACAAAAGTGAGTGTCCTGTGTCAAACCTCCGGGCCACCCATTGGGGAGCTGAGTGTAACTGATTCCCATGGTGGCTGCACACCCAGGGATCAATGACAGAATAATGGGCTTTGTGGTAGCAAGAAATTCTTAGGCCCAAGAATTTTCTAACTCTAAGCTTTCCCTGCAGAAAGAGAGTCAACAATAGGTTGTCATTAACCATGATAGACACTGAATTTTAGGATAATATAGAAGTCTATTTTTCACCCGCTATTGACAGTTGCCATTGTCACTGTCTGATTGCTTCTGGGAGGAGAGGGTGTTCTGCTGCTCCAAATGCCCCACCTCCCCAAGTTCTACCACCGTTTTATCTATTAGTATGACTTTCCAGAGATTAGTGCCTGAGCCAGGCCAGACCTTATGTAGGTAGCAGCAGGTGCCTCTGGAGAACTCCCTGGGCACATTCAGAATTTGTGTCAGCTTCTGGAATTTTTTTCCAACCCTCAAAATGCCTACTAGCCTTACTCTCACATTCAGTGTCAGCAAAGACCCATTGCAGAAGAGAAGTGATGGGTGCACATGCGCCCGCAGCACTGTGGAAGCCAGTCGCTTTCATCTGATGTTTACACAGCCATAAGATAGATGCCCCACACCTAAAATGGGCCATCAGGGAAACTGGTCCAGCTGACCCATCTCTGTGAATTTCAGTACCACCTACCACCCGCAAGTCCACAGCCTCCCCCAACCCTGTCCCTTTCCCTGCTATTGGATGTACCCCAAAACCAGCCCCATTTAGGTCCTTGGGTCTCTTCCCAGGGATTGCGGAGTGGCCTCTAGGGTTATCAGGTTAACAGGAGCTTCTCCTGGTGTTCACCTTGGCCTGGTCATTCCAGCGTGAATTTCTTCTTACTTGCAGTGTAAATGCTAACACATATTAAGGGATCAAAACCAAAATGTATTGGGTTTGGTGCTGTAGGAGAGGGATGAGCAGACAGTGAAGGCTGGAATTTGCTAAGCAATCTTTCAGGTGTGAGATTGTTGAGAAATGTCTTAAGTTCCTTTTAGCTTCTGCCAGATTCCCAGTTAAAAAGTAGATTCTTTATGTTTCCCAGGCTGAAGTAGTTCCACCAAGCCTCCTACAGTAGGGAATCCCTATTATATTCCAGTGTCCCATGAAGGTGCTAAAGCTTCTACTGTGTGGTCAGAGCCAGGCTTCCTTCTGTGGCATCCAGCTGGGTACCCTCCTCCTGCCTTCCTCTCCAGGGAAGTGGTTTAGAAGTGAGAGCTCACTCCTACCCCTACCTCTCGCCCCAAAGACACTGTGTTAGTCTGCTCAGGCTGCCATAACGAAATATGACAGGCTATACAACTTAAACAATAAAAAGCTGATTTCTCACAGTTCTGGAAGCCAGCAGTCTGAAATCAGGGTGCCAGCGCGGTCTGCTTCTGGCTGAAGGCATGCTTCCTGGCTTGCAGGTGGCTACCTTCTCACTGTGTCCTCACATGGCAGAGAGGGAGAAAAGCAAAGGTCGGTCTCTCTCTGTCTTCTTAAAGGCCCCAGTATTATTGCAATCGGGCACCAGCTTTATTTCCTCATTTTAATCTTAATTAGCTCCTAAAGATCCTATCTCTAGATACTGTCACATTGTGGGTTAGGACTTCAACATGTGAATCTGGGGAGACACGATTCAGTCCATAGCACTGGGTCTTCAGCTGTACTTACCATCGATCAAGCTGTTTCCTCACAAGCCATTAGCCATAAGCCATTCAGAACAGAAAATTTCCTAATGAGGTTTCTGTTAGATCCCAAATAGGAAGGCAGCCAGCCTGATTCCCTCCTCCACTTTATCTATATTTAACAAGGCTCCTCGAGAGTGGCTCATCCATAGTGTCTTGTCTGGTCAGATTCTGCTGTGAGTCAACCTAGCAGCAAAAATCTTTGGTTCAGCTTCCCAAGTAACTCTTACCAGGGGCAGTGTGGCCAGCAGGCTTTCTACCTGTGACCCACTGTCCTCCTGGCTCAGCTTGCCTTGATGTTGACAAGGAAGGCGCAATGTAAGATGTGCAGGCACCCGGATAATGAAGCCCTGAGGATAAAAGACAGCACTCGATGGGCCACTAGCGTGACTTCCTTATAGTACATGTCAGAATAATTGTCTGAGTAGGTGATATCTTCATGTGAAATTACTCACAAAAGTTGTAGAAGGCAAAATGGCTTTTCTTCAACTGCCCTTCACACTACCCAAATCCACTTTACTTCCTTGACTTGAGTCTGCAATTTGCAGGAGAAGCTGGATGAGAACCAGCTTAATTTGATCCAGAAAGTGTGTGAGCTCATCGGTGAAGTGAGAACAGAAGGGACTGACAATATGAAGGACCTAAAGAAAAAATGGGGCTCTGCCAGCCCTGATGAAGGAATGAAAGAAAATCCAGCCAAAGTATGTGATCTCATTTAGCAATGGGATATCAGTGTTTCATCCCAGCATCTAACCCCACCATTCACCCCGTTAGCATTCCAGCCTGCTTTCCCCGACAATGCATTGCATCAGGCATTTTAAAGGGGCAAAGGGATGTACTGCACGATTTTGTCATCTTCTAGAAGGCATGTTTCTGATGTTAGGGTTCATGCCCTTCCCAGGAAAATGCTGGGGGCAGCCTTTTCTGAAAATGAGCCTTCTTTAGCAGGAACAGCTGTGGGCCTTGGAGCGGGACAACTGCAGCCTGGCCACCCTGGTGTGCAAAGTGAGGAGCCTGGGCCGCTGGAGGCTGGCTGTGCAGCAGGGGCGCTTCCAGGCCCAGCTGAGCAGGTCAGAGAAGGTGCGCTCTGGTGGGGGAGGCCCAGACAGTCCCCAGGGTGGCTGGCCCCAGGCCTCCATGGCTGCAGCTGCCATGGTGTCACTGCAGCCATGGGTGGCACTGGTGTCAGGGCCAACTATCCTGAATGATCTGACAGTTGGTGATTTTTTCCTGGGAACAGGCTATGTCAGAACCTCGGGAGAAACAGAAATGGGGCAGAAGCAAACGGGGCAAGAAAGAACAGATCAGAGAATTCAGCATAAGGGAAGGAAGTGAAAAGATGGATGAAAGGCTTCACCAAAGGCTTGAGGCTGCTTTGTCAAAATACTGCATATCTTTGGGTTTCATACATGATTATCTGAGGAAAATGAAGTTACAAAATAATAAGCAAGAAATGTGTTTTAAGGCAAATTAAATCCAAAGCACATACTGATAGCTATTTGGAAATTTTCACATCCTGTTTCTGAAAGTGTTTACTCTGATATATCACCCTCTTCTGAATTAAAAGCATGGAAACAGGCCAGGTACAGTGGCTCACAGCTGTAATTCTAGCACTTTGGGAGGCCAAGGTGGGCAGATCACCTGAGGTCAGGAGTTTGAGACCAGCCTGGCCAACATGATGAAATCAAATCTCTAGTAAAAATACAAAAAAGAATAGTCGGGCGTGGTGGCAGGCACTTGTAGTCTCAGCTCCTCAGGAGACTGAGGTAGGAAAATTGCTTGAGAGGTTGCAGTGAGCTGAGATTGCACCACTGCACTCGAGGCTGAGTTGACAGAGCAAGATTCCATCTCTAAATAAATAAATTAATTAAATAAAATAATATCATGAAAGCAGTGACTAGCAGGAGCTCCCTTCTACCAGAAGTTTGAAAGAAGGATGGATGGGGAAGTAATTTAGATACTGCTTGTGAAACTAAAAATCTGGAAAGGAAACCTATTTCCTGTCTTATTGTATTTGGGATGTTTACAGGAGTTTATTGAAAGCCAGGACCTGGCCAGGGTGCAGGCCCACAGCACAAGGATATGGAAGCAGTAGGACAGCCGTGTACCCCAGACTCAGAGCCTCTTCCTCTCTCCCTTTGCAGTTCACTCTGCAAAGCTGAACGTGGCCACCAGACATGGTGCTGTGGCTGCCAGGAGCAGTCACCGGAGCACCACAGTGTGAAACCAAGCAGATGGCACAGCCAGGAAAAGGAGCCTGGACCTGGGCTTCTTCTCCCCTTCTTCTCCAGCCCAAAAACCAAGGGCAGTGGCCAAAAGGCTTTTGTTCCTACTCATATTTGCTTAAGATGAGAAAACAGTACTCATAAACAAGATCATTATCACGTGCATGCCTGTGTGTGTGTGTGTGTGTGTCCCTGTTTCTCTGAGGATCTTTTTGCTAGAGGCCGTTCTGGGATCCTGTAATCTAGGCCTCTGCCTTGAACACAGGTTTTCATGGGGCAAGCATGCTTCCCGTTGACGACCCTTGGCAAGCAGAGTGTGGTCCAGCCTGCAGTATTATCTCCCACGAAAGACTCCGTCCTTTCCCAGTGATCCACACTGTGTCTCACTTTCAGAAGTTACTGCTGCATGACAGGGGCTGGCACCAAAATAAAGCCATCCTAAGCCTAAGCAATTCCTAACTGCCAGCCCTCTGGGCATGAATGAAGCAGGGAGACTCTAGGTTTGGAGTGAGAACAGCTGAGTTTAAGTAACAGCCTGGGAAAGCTAGGCATATTTAAAGCATGAAATTTAATTTGTTCATCTTGGACCCTAATTCCTCTATGATTCTGCATCAGATGAGTTAATTATGTAAAGAACAGGGTAAACTGTAAAGTTATCCTACCAATATGAATAATAATTATTAATATCATAATTAAGGGTTGACCATCTAGTACTTAGGATAATACTTATTAGAAAAACTTTGGAACAGAACTAAATCATTTCTACACTTATCCTTCTTTAACCTTCTAGAATCTGACTTCCTCAGATTTTTGAAAGTGAAAACAGAGCCTAAATCAGAACCTCCTTTCCTTGCTCATTGTGTGTATGGCATGGCCCCGTCTCCTTGGTTAAACACTTCCACGGCTACCTCCTGACAAAGGCTCCATGACAGTGTAAGTGTTGTTTGTGCTAGACACCATCATCTGGTTAGTAAGCTAGCATACATATCACCAAGTCTGGGTATTAAAAGATCAAATGATTTGCCCTGGCGCTGATGAACAGTGGTGTGATCACATGCCTGGCATTTGATGTCTGTTCTGCTTCCCTCTGACTGTCACTGCAGGGCGCACAGTGTAAGTGCCACGCTAGGCTAGACCCTGGTGCTCTTGCTAGCACAGGACAGTCATTGGGCCGTATTTCCTAGATCCCAGGAATACACCATGTAGTTGTGTCCCTGAGCCCAGAAGAGGGGATGGTTATTAATGTTGTCCAACCTCTCCCGCCTTCTGCTGGGGAAAAAAGGCTCCCTGCCGCCTCCTTTCCTTTGGTCTTTTCCTGCCACAGGCTCAACTGCTGAAGGAGTTAAAACATAGAGTGACCCAGAAAGCTCTCACCCAGCAGGAGCTGGATTTCATGAAAACATCCAGCATGGAGCAGCTCTTGGAAGATGTGGGGCAAAAGGAACAGGAACTGCAGCTCCTTAGTGAAGAGGCTGAGAAGGCTTCTAAGCTGGGCCAACTGCAGCAGAAAACATGGAGAGAGACCGCCACCAGGTAAGCTTCACCCCCATTAAAAGGGAGTGTACCCCTAGAGTGCAGCTGGTGCCCCTGCGAGGGCCGCTGCATTCTCCCTGCATGCCCGTGCCTGTCTGCTGTCCTCTACAGCAGTGTTTTTCAACCTCTGTCACTTCTAGGCAGCACAGGAGAATGGGAGCGTCTCTCCCCACACTGTGGGGATTGCTGGGCAGGCAGTGATGGCTTGACTGCCTCAGGGCTCGGAATATCAGCACCACTGTAACCTACTGGAAAAACCTGTTTCTACCCAACTCTCATCTTTGAACTAGGAATCTATTAGAAAATTCCAAGAAGTGACCTGGAAAAGCAGCAAGCATTTTTTTTTGTTTTGTTTTGTCTTTTTGTTTGTTTTTTGAGGTGGAGTCTCGCTCTGTTGCCCAGGCTGGAGTGCAGTGGCGCAATTTCAGCTCACTGCAACCGCCGCCTCCCAGGTTAACAGTTTTCTGCCTCAACCTCCCAAGTAGCTGCCACCACGCCCGGCTAATTTTTTCCTATTTTAGTAGAGACAGGGCTTCACTATCTTGGCCAGGCTGGTCTTGAACTCCTGACCTCGTGATCCACCTGCCTCGGCCTCCCAAAGTTCTGGAATTACAGGCTTGAGCCACCACGCCAAGCCAGCAGCAGGTGTTAATGGAGGCTATTACAGGAATATTTTATTCAAGTGTTTCAGGAACTGCAGAGACAAAAATGAAAGGCAAAAGTGGTTTGCAGATCCAATGTATTTTGTTAAATATATCCAACAACAAAGAAATAGAAGGGAATACTAGAATGTAGATATGGATTAATACAAATTTCAACAAAGCAGAAAACAATGTAATTCAATAAAAAGGGAAAAGAAATAGTAACTTCCAAAGCAGGCACCTCACACATATCCACTGAATGGGCAAATCACTTAATTCATTTACCAGAGATAGAAGGAGATGGAAATTGAAAGGCAAATTATTGGTCAAGTGGGTTTTTTTTTTCTTTTTTTGAGACAGAGTCTTACTCTGTCACCCAGGCTAGAGTGCAGTGGCATGATCTCAGCTCACTGCAACCTCCACCTCCCAGGTATAAGCAATTCTCCTGCCACAGCCTCCTGAATAGCTGGGACTACAAGCACATACCCTGACACCCAGCTAATTTTTGTATTTTTAGTAGAGATGGGATTTCACCATGTTGGTCAGGCTGGTCTCAAACTCCTGACCTCAGGTATCTGCCTGCCTCGGCCTCCCAAAGTGCTGGGATTACGGGTGTGAGCCACTGTGCCCAGCCCTGGTCAAGTGTTTTAAATGCTCAAGGAAGAGTTCAATAAGGAGAATTCTGTCTACACAAATAAATGACAAAACAGATTAAAAATTGAATCAAGGAAAAGCTAAAGAAAATATTTGTATAGAAATGGAGAGAGAAAATGAGTAGCTTTAGAATAAAAGAAAATTAGAATTTCATATTTATTGCCTGAGAAGTAAACAAAAGTGTGACTGAACCTATAAGAAAAATTTGGCATCCCGATTTGTCCCATAAATTATGCTTTTCTAAAAGCCACCAAAAAATAGGGAAGTTTGTAGATCAGTTTCTTCAAAGTTTTCTCTAGTTATTTGTTTCATGGCAGAGATTCTAGAGGTGGTCAAAACAAATATTTTGAGGTTTCTCTCAACAAATGTGCACTTTACCATATGTATGTAAAAGCCATAGACCCTTTGTAGGATACCCCTCCGGCTCTCCTGACGGCTCAAGTGTCCCTGCACCTACCTACCCTGAACAGCAATCCTCAGCCAGCAAGACCCATTCGCCTCCCCACCCCAACCCCGCCACCCCTTCCAGCCAGAAGAGGCTTCTTTAATCCATCTTCAGCCTCTGACTCCATCGGCAGATATTCACTGTCTGACCTCAGAGAGCCTCAGTGTCCTAGCATGTTGCCTGCACCTGGTTGAGGTCACTTAGAGCAGGGGTCCCCAACCCCCAGGCTATGGACAGGTAGGGGTCCGTAGCCTGTTAGAAACTGGGCCTCACAGCAGAAGATGAGCAGCCAGTGACTGAGCATAACTGCCTGAGCTCTGCCTCCTGTCAGAGCAGCCATTAGATTCTCATAGGAGCACAAACCCTCCTTTGAACTGCACTTGTGAGGGATCTAGGTTGCCCGCTCCATATGAGAATCTAGCTAATACCTGATGATCTGAGGTAGAACAGCTTCATCCTGAAACCGTTAACCCCCACCCCCGTGGAAAAATTGTCTTCTATGAAACTGGTACCTGGTGCCAAAAAGGTTGGGGACCACTGATTTAGAGCACAGGCCCTAGAGGGGAACTAAGTGGCCCATTCCCCCAGCCCTCTAGCTACGTGGCTTCAGGCAAAGTCTGTGGTCCTTCTGTGCCTTGGTTTCTTCATCAGTACAATGGAAATAATGTATTCACTTCATTGGATTTGGGGGATGATTAAATTAAGAAATTAGGTAATTCAAATGAAGCCCTTAAAACTGTGCCTAAAACAGGCATGGTAGTGTGTGCCTGTAGTCCCAGATACTTGGGAGGCTAAGGCAGGAGGATCCCCTGAGCCCAGGAGTTCAAGGCTGCAGTGAACTAAGATTATGCCACTGTACTTGAAAGAGTAAGACCCTGTCTCTAAAAAAATTTTTTTAATTAAAAAAAAAATTAACAAAAATAAACAGGCCAGATGCGGTGGCTCACTCCTGTAATCCCAGCATTTTGGGAGGCCGAAGTGGGAGGATTCCTTGGGCAACATGGCAAAACCCAGTTTCTACAAAAAAATACAAAAATTAGCCAGGGGTGGTGGTGTGTGTCAGTGATCCCAGCTTCTTGGAGGGCTGAGGTGGGAGGATCACTTGAACCTGGTTGTAGGGAGCCAAGATTGGGCCACTGCACTCCAGCCTGGATGACAGAATGAGACCTTCTCTTAAACAACGGCAAAACCATGGTGTAGTACATAGCTCTCAGTAAATATTGGCCGTTTATATTTTTGCTGGGAATGTGAAGGTAGACAGCCTTGGAAACAGGTAAATAGACCTGGACTCGAATCCTGGCTGTGTGGCCTTGGGCAAGTCACTGCATCGGCCTCTGGGACGTGGGGGTGAGTGACAAGGAGGTCCTGAGGAAGCGTGCTTCCTTGTTGGTATTTCTCAAGTTTCCTAGTGCCGGCCTGGCTCAGGAAATTTTGACATGTTTTCTTGGTGCCTGCTCACAGGGAGTGAGGATCCTACACAAATCTCTAGTCTGGAGAAGGACTTTGGACCTAGTTTATATTAGGATGTTTTCCTAACTCTGGAGCTCTGGTAATCTGAAATTTAAACTGTGCTTGGGAGACCCTGGACATAAGGAAGAGCCCACTTTAACGTTTAGGGCAAGCCTATGTGGGGGCCTTCTGGCTGGGTCTGTATAGGTGGAGTGGGATGTACAACACACGTGTCTGAATGCTTGAGATTAGCACGTGTATTCATTTCCTAGGGTTGCCTTAATAAATTACCACAAACTGGGTGGCTTAATAGAATAAACATATTGCTTCACAGCTCAGGAGGCCAGAAGTCTGTAACGGATGTGCTAGCAAGCTGGCTCCTTTCAGAGGCTTTGAGGAAGAATCTGTTCCATGTCTCTTCTGAGTCACATTTTGGTCTCTGGCATTCCTTGGCTTGTAGTTACCTCACTCCAATCCTGCCTCTGTCACCACAGAGCCTTCTTCCTCTGTGCTCCTCTGAGTGTCTGTATCCTTATCCTATCTTCTTCTAAGGAGAACAATCAGTAGATTCAGGGCTCACTTTAAACCCAGTATAACCTTATCCTAACAAGTCCATCTGCAAAGACCCCATTTCCAGATAAGGTCACATTCTGAGGTTCCAGGTGGACATGAAATTTGGGAGGTCCTCTTCGAACTATAGTATGTATTACTTTTCTACAAGTAAAAGCAATGAGGAGATGATAAATGGAAAAAGCAAAACCACCTGTGATCTGTGCAGATGAGATACACTTTGGACTCGGGCCCTGTCTGGCTGGGGAGTGTGGGCTGGCTGTGCACAGGGAGGGCCACACAAGGAAATACAAAGATTGCTTCTGGAGGTGGGCAGGGCATTCCCAGCAGATGCTGAGCTGAGAGCAGAGATCTAGGAGAGAGATCAAGTCTTTCCTCCGCTTGAAACTGTCCAGAGGCTCTGACAGGTCCTCAATGTAGATGCCATGACTGGGCCTCCAAGGTCTTGTGTGCCCTGGGCCCTCACTCCCCTCTTCCTCTACCCATCTGATGAAATAAACATGAAAGATATAACCTTGCGAATAAGCTCCTAGCTATTATAAGTTATAAGGGATTCCACGGACTGCCTTTGTTCCATTTTGGTTAAGCTCTTCGTCTTCCTGAAGCTCTTGATTCTCAGGAGGCTGAGTTTAGCCTAACCAGTACTTGAAGAGCTGATTCTTTCTTCAGAGTAACCTGGAACCCTCATTCTCCCCAGGAACCCCCTGTGAACTGAGGAAATGAAAGTGAGCACAAACCATCTCTGCTTCTCATTTTCCCCTCAGATGAGAGCCCAGCTTGCCAAGGAGCGCAGCATGAAGCTGGATGCTCTCCAGCGTGTAGAGGAGCTGCAGAGTCAGCTTCATGATGCCCAGCAGTCAGCTGTCCCCATGGGCTCACCAGGCGGTAAGTTACCCCCTGTTCTGGCTAGAAAACCCTCCCAGTCTCTCGGGTCTGAATTGAAGAGGGTCTCAGGGACTCAAATAACACTGTATAGTTATTGAGTGGGTTTTCCACAGTGTTTGTTGAATGACACATGAATGAATAAACCTTAATTCTGATTTACAGTCAAAACGTCCTACTTTAGTACCCTGCAGTACTGACATCCAATACTAAATGGTTTCAGTCATAAAAAATTGGTCTCAGACAGGCGTGGTGGCTCATGCCTGTAATCCCAGCACTTTGGGAGGCTGAGGTGGGTGGATCACAAGTTCAGGAGATTGAGACCATCCTGGCCAACATGATAAAACCCCATTTTTACTATAAATGCAAAAATAACCTGCGTGTGGTGGTGCATGCCTGTAATTCCAGCTACTCAGGAGGCTGAGGCAGGAGAATCACTTGATTCACTTGAACCCAGGAGACAGAGGTTGCAGTGAGCCGAAATTGTGCCACTGCACTCCAGCCTGGCAACAGAGCAAGACTGTCTCAGAAAACAACAACTGGTCCTGGACCAGTTCATTGGATTTTGAGACATCTTAATGCTTTGGGATACCAATGACCCTATTTCTCAGAGTCATTCATAAAGTACATTATGATTCTTGGGTGCTGGGGGTTTGGGGTGTCTTTGAAAATAACAATCAACATAGCTCCTTGAGCAGTGCAGTCAACAGGCAGCATGGAGCTGAGGCCAGATCTCAGGATGTCTCTAAACCAGCTTCCTCCTTTTTAAGATGAGGACTAAATACATTCTAAGTTCTCTTTTAGATCTATCAGAAATATCACCAAATATCACTAAACCATGATTGGCCTATTGTTATGACTGGCCATGTCTCTTCTTTCCTGTTCTGCACATAGTCTAGTAGTTGAGTATGTGGGCTTTGGAGTAAAATAGTCAGAATTCAGGCCCTGGCTAACCGCATGACCTTAGACAGGTTAATTAACCTCTCTTTAAAATGGGAATACTCACCTCAAAGGCTTGCTCTGAGAGTAAATGAATAACCCGTCTGGCACTTAGTAATTGTGTAAGTGTTGGTTACTATACTTGCATACATGTGTTTAACCCTTTATCTGAGTTTCCTTTTGGCTACTTTCCAGCATGAATGAGCTAAGAGAACACAGCCTTTCAGAAGCACAAAGTCACAGATCAAGTTACTTTGGGTTTACTAAGAACAGAGCTGGGCTTGGCAGTAAGGTTCACAGGGCCCTTCTTCCTGCCTTTGGGTTGCTGCCCAGACCTGACATTGGGAGCTGGTGTCCTCTGCCCCAGCCACTGTTTGTTACTGCTGCCCCAGCCCCAACACAAAGAGCATCAAGAGCACCCAAGGGTCCTACTTTCACCCTGACCCTACGCAGTTCTGTACCTTACACTGCCTTCTCCATGTGCCAGGGGATTTTTTTCTTCTTTCCCTTTCCCCTCTGCCTGCAGCCTAGCCAAGGATCTTTCTAATCCCTTCCTGCGTTAATGCATCCTAGTGAACTGCCATCCATGTCCTCCAACACCTGCCCATTGAGAAAGAGAACCAGAGTGAGGCACGAGGCAGGTGGGAGAGACCCAATTCCCAGGATTGGGGTGGGGGCAGGAGTGGGAAGGAAGTTTCTTTCTCAGGAAGTGGAGGTTACTCCTGGGCTTCAGTCCCCTTCTGTTCCCCTGTACAGAAAGAGGAGGGGTTTGAGGGCACAGCCAGCTATCATCCATACTGTTAATGCTAAGCAGTAAAAGCCATATTCCCACTCCTCCTTCCTCCACTGTTGTCCAGCTGGAATCTGAAAGTGACCCAGATGTCTTCTGCAGCATCCCTGCCTCCCAGGTCAGAAACATAGGTGCACTCAAGGGGCGAGCTCTCTTTATTTCCCTAGGATCTTGCAACTCCTGAGAAATGACAATTTTTTTCTAAAGCAATTATTTTAGAAATGCTTGAGGAAAAAATGAAACCACTTGGCTCATAAAACTGTAAAATGTTCAGAGGAGGGCTGGCTAAAGGCAGCTTCCTCAAGATTTGAACTACTTCATGAGGACTGGTTTCACTCTCGCCATCTCTGGGCTCTGAGGAGGCTGGGAGCAGAAAGGAAGTGGGGCCCCTGGGAAGTAAGATGACAGCCATCTCTGTAGCTTCCATCCCTGTTCATGCTCAGCATGGCAGGAGCAGGGTGTGGAGATGGGACGGTTAAAAAGAATTGGGCTCTGCCTGGACCAACTTGGGTCATGGTGCCAATTTTGAACAAATCACTGGAGCCGCAGACTAAGATGCCTGTGTCTGGTTGGCTTAGGCCCAGCTCACCTGTTCCTCCACTGGAGCTATGGATTGGGTCAGCTCGCTCTTTCCTCCTCTCTGCAGCAACTGTTTTTGTTTGTTTGCTTGTTTTGTCGAGACGGAGTCTCGCTTTGTTGTTCAGGCTGGTGTGCAATGGCACGAACTTGGCTCACTGCAACCTCTGCCTCCCAGGTTCAAGCGATTCTCCTGCCTCAGGCTCCCCAGTAGCAGGATTACAGGCGCCCATCACCAGGCCCAGCTAATTTTTGTATTTTTTTTCTAGTAGAAAAGGGGTTTCACCATGTTGGCTAGGATGGTTTCAATCTCCTGACCTTGTGATCTGCCTGCCCCAGCCTCCCAAAGTGCTGGGATTACAGGTGTAAGCCACTGCACCTGGCCAGCCAACTGTTTTAAATCCGCCTTGTCTCCTCAGACCTTCGTACATTCCCCTGCAACCCCTCATCCTTTCATCTCCCACTTCACAGAGAAATTAGAAAGCCTTGGACAGGAACGCCATCTTCTCACTGTCTCCCAGCCCACCTGCATCTGTACTCCGCTGCTTCTCCTTCCCTACTGTGAACATGAAAAGGGTGCCCCTCTTCTTCCCCAGGCCAATCCTTATGTAAAGGGCCCATCTGCTGCTACCTTCTCAGGGGCCTTGAACTATCTGCTTCTTTTCTACATACTTGTATTTCTTGTCCATGTATCCCTCTAATCCTGCAACCAACAATTACTTATTGATCATGTATGTGCCAGGATCATAAAATCCACTGTAAAATAACACACACCCCAGCCCTTGACAACATATTCCTTCCTCTGCCACTTGCCTTTCTCTTCCCAGTCAGACTTCTTAAAAGAGCTGACTATAGTCACTTTTGTGATTCACTTCACTTAATTTCTCTCAGGTTTGCCATTCTCAACTTGTGGCTTTCAAATGCTGCTCATCACCTCATGGTCCAAGATGGCCACTTAAGCTTTCTGGCCAATAGGAAGGAGGAAGGCAACAAGTAGGGCCCACCCCTCCCTTGAAGCTTGATGAATGCTTCCTGCAAGTCACTTGTGACATTTCTGCATATATCCCATTGGCCAGCACTTAGCTCCAAGACTGCACAAAGGAGACTGGGAAATGTAGTTTTTATTGTAGGACACTGTGTGAACAAAACATGTGAGGTCTATTTCTAAGAAGAGAGGGGAGATTTGCAATTGAGGGCCAAGTATAGGTCTCTATGACACCACCAGCAATCTGATTTTGCTCACCACCATTTCATTGCAATTGCTCTTGCCAAGATCACCTTGACTTCTGTCACCAAGTCCAAAGGACACTGCTGAGTTCTCACTGATTTCATGTCTCAGCAGCATTTGAAACAGCTGACCACACCCTTCTAATTATTTCCCTGGCACTGCTCCTAGTGGTTTCTCTCCTCTTTCTCTGGCTGCTTTTTCTGTCTCCTTTTTCAGTTCCTCCTACTGTATCTAACCTGTAAACACTGAAGTTGTTCAGGGATCTTTCTGGCCCCTTCTCCTCTCACCTTACATTTTCTGGATAATTGCATATGTTCCCACAGCTTTAATCATTATTTGCCAAGCCTACATCTGCAGCTCAAAACTCTCCTCTGAGCTGTAGACCCACATGTCCAATAGCCCATATATCCACTGAATAATGTCTGCATACATGTGTCTCAGGCTTACAAGTTCAACGGGTCAAATGGAACTCATCTTCCTATCCTTTTCCCTTCTTGACTACTTTTGGGGTTGGGGAGATGCTGTCTCAGCAAATAGTAGTGCCAAATATCCAGTTGCTTAAGCCAGAAATTTGGGAGCTATTCTTTGTGACCCTGCAAATCCAGTTAATTCCCAACTCCTACTAATTTGGATGGCTCACAATCTATCCACTTCTACCTGCCATAGTCCAAGTCTCTCCTTCTCTTTTACTTGGTCATGTGACTATCAGGCAAAAAACTCCAGGTTTTGACATATTTCCTCAAAATTAATGAAGCTGAAAAGAAAAAAATGATTAAGCTGTTAGATGCCAATTTTAAGCTCTAAATTTTATGAATTAAGTCTAGATTCAGGAGTTTGAGGTTATAGTGAACTATGATGGTGCTGCTGCACTCCAGCCTGGGCAGCAGAGTGAGATCTCCTCTCAAAAAAAATAAAATAAAATAAAATAAAAATAAAAATAAAAAATCAAAATAATCTAGGCTTATCCATTGCAACCAGATATCATTTAACATTTTTAACTTTATAGGCCTTACATCCCAGGCTCGATACTCCCCAAGTTCTGCTTCCACATCATCCAGATACTGCCAGCAACACTTTTTAAAGACTAATCTCACAGGGAGTAAAATAACAGGACAGATTCAAAGGCCACAGACTGTAAGTAATGATAAGGTTGGTTACATGCATTAAACAATAAAGCCTTTCAATTTGATGTTATGGTTTTTGGGTCACTTTAGACTTAAATTAGAAAAAATTATATATCAGGAGCTTATCTAGGTGCCTTAAATCTGGATAAGAAAATTCTGATGTTGAAATAATTAAGCTCTGTAATAGCATCTTCTAAATTACAAGTCAATAAATGGGTATGGAATCAGTACCAACACCTTGCTGTGTTCCATCTTTGAATTTCTTTTTGTTCCCCCAATCATCTTCAACAAATTAACTAGCAGCATCAGACTCCTTATCTGAGTTCCCCAACAGAGCAGAAAGTTTCAGAAGTCATTTTAAAACATGTGAGAAATGTAGCCTTCAAAAAAATTCTTAGGGTTCAGATTAGCGTATATTTGAAGCACTTATAAAATGTTTCAGTTTTTAGTTTATGTAAAACAACATATACTTTCTCTTCCACTGCCTTCTCTCTACTGCTTTAATAAGTATTTTACTCTTTGCTCCATTTTCTTTCAGAATCCCTTATAAAGATTCATATATCTAATCAATACATTTAAGAATTCCTCCCCATTACTTAAAGAAAAATTAGGAGGAAGAGATTTAATCATTCCTTCAGAGGAAAGTATGCCATTGCAAGAAATCATTTGACAGTGTAATTCTGCAGCTGGTGGTCTAGTTAAAAGGACTGAAAGTTTCCAGATTTCTAAACATGCAATTACGAAGGGGGAAAGACAGTTTGGGAAGATACCCAAACACCATCTTGACCAAGTGAGGGCCACATTACTAATGTCCACCGTTTGCTTGACTCATCCATCTCTATGCAGTCATCTTTCTCAAAAATGTGAACTTTTATTATATGTCTGTGTTTCTGCAAAAGCCTTTTCCAAAAAGAAGCAAAGTTCACCTTGTATGTGTGAGACCACAAGGGCTTTCAAGAATCACTATCTCCACTTCACACTGAAAGCTGCAAGCATCATGGGAGTGTTGGTGATCACAACTTGTTGAAAAGGCTGCTAAGCAGCTAAGTGCATTAGTGACAATTATATTTGAGAGATTTAGAAGGATGATGGTCTAAGGCTAATTGTTTGATGTACATTGCCCTACTAAATAAATAAACCCTATAGTGAAGTGTCTTGTGGGCCCATTTGCCCAGTGGCTATGTACAATATGGGGACCCAAAGCAAAAAACCTCAAGGCCAGGGAAGGTACACAGTTAGCTGGAACTTCTTTAGATCTCAGTTCTGACTTCTTAAGCAAGGCCTATGATAAATACTGATTGAAGAGGAATTTATAAATGGCTGAAATGTAAGAATACAGTTAATTTTCTAAAAATTAGCCCTGCACTTACAAAAATGATAAGAAATTAAGGAATTTTTAGCTTACACAAAATATGAGCTGTGTTTTCTTCCTTAACTGGAAATGGCTTTCTATTGATGCTTTCCATTCATTCTTGACCAATTCCCCACAGGACAAGCGGCAAAGTACGTACAAGAAGGCATATTACACGGCCTAACCCAGACTGAATCAATGATCTTCGTCTCAAAAACCGAGAATTTTTATGATGCTATAACAAGAATTATTCACCATGTTCTTAACGAACACCAATATCTATTTGTATTACAGGTACCTATTAAACACAAAAAAAGGATTGATGATGTTTTCCCACCTAATATGGCAGAAAATGTTCACCTGACAGCTTTTCAGGTCCAAACAGCTCCATCCAGATTCCCATTTAGAGCTGACTGGTGATCATATCTTCTTTTTCCAACCTTTATTTCTATGAGTATTTGAATGAATAAAAATAACCCTAAAAGCCAGTATGCCTCTTATTTTATGAATTTTTCTTATCTGTACTTGGAAGATAGTGTTGAAGGATTGAGATGATTACATCTTGAGTGTCCCAGGTGAAGTAAGGGGTTGGTCCTAGACTTTAAAACCTAAGCATTGATTTGCATTCCTGTAAGCGCCATGGTGGAGTGCCACTTGTGTGGCACACCCTCCAATACCCCTTTGAGTGGTTTTGCAGTCTCAATGAGTTTCCCAACCATTTAATAAGCTTTGGGCAGATCCTCTCCAATGAGGTCTGGATCTCAGCCCTGAAGGGTAGTGTCTGGTTCCTGTATCTGCTATCCTTGTATTCTTTTGAGTTCTCTTTATTGCTTATAAGCAATATGCCAATTCTTTGTTATAGTTAGTAATTCTTTATATCAAACTTTCCCTATATGAATTACTGTGTGCTTTCTGTTTCTTGATTGGCCCATGACTGATACAGAACTTGTTCCAGGAGTGGGGTGTTCCCAGAGGATAGACCTGCTATGGTTTGGATGTTTTGTCCTCTCCAAAATTCATGTTAAAATTTAATCCCCAATGTGGCAGTCTGAAAGGTAAGACCTTTAAGAGCTAATTGGGTCATGAGGACTGTGTCCTTATGAATGGATTAATCTATTCATGAATTAATGGATTTGTGGCTTGTTAATTAATGGACTATAATGGGAGTGAGACTGGTGGCTTTATAAGAAAGGGAGAAAGACTTGGGCTAGCATGCAAAGCTCCCTCACCATGTGATGCCTTGTGCTGCCTAGGTCTCTTTGGAGGGTCCCCACCAGCAAGAAGGCTCTCACCAGATGTGCCTCCTCAACCTTGGACTTCCCAGCCTCCATAACTGTAAGAAATAATTTCCTTTTTCTTTACAAATTTCCCAGTTTCAGGTATTATGTTATAAACAACAGAAAATGTACTGAAACAGAACACAGATGGAACTTGGGATTTGTTTGGTTGCAACCTTAGGCTTTAACACAGTGCTGAGCTAATAGGAAATTGGAATGTTAGTATTCTTTGCATGCAGTGGCATCACAATCACATTATTACCTGTGTGCTTTCTGTCTCCTGATTGGCCCATGACTAATACAGAACTGGTACCAGGAGTGGGGTATTTCCAGAGGATAGACCTGTTATGGTTTGAATGTTTGTCCCCTTGAAAACTCATGTTAAAATTTAATCCCCAATGTGGCAGTAATGAAAGGTGAGACTTTTAAGAGGTGACTGGGTCAGGAGGACTCTGCCCTTATGAATAATCTCTTCATGGATTAATGGATTACCTTTGGTAGATTGTGCTAAGTACCTGCGGAAGCATGTGCCTTTAGAAGCCTAAATTGTTACTACATTGACTATCATGGCAGTCACATTGACTATAGAGACTGTGGTGTTAGGTGGATTTTTCTGAATGCACATCAGCACTTAACGGAAGAAAATGACAAGCTCATGACCTTTAATTCTAGGCTTAAGTCATGGTCTGAAAACTAGAAAGCTTCCATGATAGCCCTAAAAGTATCTCTTCACTTCTCATAGTCACAGGGATGACACTGCTAAAAATCAAGCACAAATTTGTATTATGGGCATGCTAAATTACAATGATAGTTGGATTTACAAGCTCATCAAGGTTCTCATTTCCACTGAGATGGGCCCTGTGATTTCAATGAAGAAAATGCAATTCCAAAGTGGAGGAGCCAGGTTGGCAGGCTTTAACTGGCAAAAGACAAGGTGGGCACATCCATTATAAAGGGCAATAGGGATGTATCAGTAGTTAGAATTCCTTGGCCTGCGGAGATCTTTGGTAGTTAATGTGTCCCCAGGTATGGAATCATATGAAATCACAGAGAATTGCTTAATGTATGTAACAGAAAAATCTTTAGGTCTAGTAACCAAAACTTCAGTCACCATAGTGGAGAGTCACAGCCTGTGACCCAGATTCCAGATTTAAGTCAATTCACAGACCAGAGGCCCTTGACTGAAGGGGAGGCTGGATCTCCTTGAGGAAGGACCCTACACTGCTGCAGGTTCATGTTATAAATCTTCCTCCTAACCATTCCCTATGGGACCTGCAATCATTTTCTTAAATTGCTGTTCTTCAGAGAAAACAAAGTACCCAGAGATTTTGATGGTTACTAGACCCAGGGCCTAAATTAATGCTAATTCTTGGGTACCCAAAACACCACTGTGGCTTACCAGTCAAAATGAAGGCTTACAGTGGTCAGGTGATAGAAGGAATCATAGCTCAGGTCTGAATTACAGTAGACCAAATTGGTACATGGACCCACCCTGTGACTACTTCCCCAGTTCCTGAGTGAATAATTAGAATAAATAAAATTAACAATATGAAGAATTTCCATATTGGTGTTTTTGACATATGAGTTGAGAATCAATTACAGTAGGAAGGGATCATTGGAAGCCCCTGGAACTTGCCCTCCCTATCAAAAAAGCAAACCAGAAGCAATTCCACAACCCTGGAGAAATGGCCCTGGGCATTAATGCCACCATCAAAGACTTGAAAGCAGCAAGGGTGATGATACCTAGCCCTTTGTCATTTAACTCACCACTTTGGCCTGTGCAAAAGACAGATCTTAGAAAATAACTAGGGAGTATCAGGTCCACATCTTAATGAGGTAGTGATTCCAATTGCAGCTGCTGTCACAGACTTATCTTTACTGAAATAAATTAATATGCTCCTGGCACTTGGCATGCAGTTATTATCTTAAAGCCTTTTGTACCATGAGAAGCAGTTTGCTTTTACCTGGCAAAGCCACAGTATATCTTGATAGTCTTGCCTCAAAGCTTTGTCAGTTCTCCTCTCTGCCATGATACAGTCCAGAGCGACCTTGTTCATCATGATATTCCACACAATATCATATCGGTCCACCATATTGATGACATTATGCTGACTGGAAATAATGAGCAAGAAGTGGCAAGTACTTAGGTGCTTAATAAAACATAAAAACTAGAAGGTGAAAGAAAAAAATCCCGTAATTCAGAAACTCAGTGAAGTTTCTAGGGGTTCATTGATTTGGAACAAGTTAAACTATCCCCCTCCAAAATGAAAGATAAGTTGCTGCACTTCACACTATGCACCATGATTAAAGAGACATGATATGCTTGGTAGGTCATTTCAAATTTTGAAGGCAACATATACTTTGAGTGTGCTACTTCAACCCATCTAGAGTCACCCATAAGATTATCGTTTTTGAGTGGGGACCAGAGCAAGAGAAGGCTCTATACGAAGTTTGAGTTATAGCATAAGCTGCTCTACCACATGGGTCTTATGATCCAGCAGATCCTATGATACTGAAAGTATTATGGCCTATAGGAATATTGTGTGGAGCCTCTGTCAAGCACCAGTAGTAGAATCACGGGGAAGCAAACCTACGTCTTTTGAAGATTACTACTCTCCTTTTAAGAAACAGTTTCTGTCTTACTGCTGTGCCTTAGTAGAGACTGAATACCTAACCATGGGATAGGAGGGGATCACGGAGCCCGAGTTTTCCATCATAATGTGGATGTTGTTAGCTAGCCTAGTCATGAACTTGGACATGCGAAGCAGCAATCTATCATCACACAGAAATGGTACAGAAATAGACTTAGCTTGCCTTAGCAGGTCTGGGAGAAGAAGCATAGCTTGCTTGAACAGGTGGCTCAGACTCTTTCAACACTGTTTCATTGCCTTCTCTCCCTCAACCCATACCTATGGTCTCCTGGGGGTGGTTCTAACAACCAATTGGCCAAGAAAGAAAAAAAAAAAATCAAGTCTAGTTTACAGAGTGGTCTGCATGATATGTTGGTGGCAACCCCTTAGGGCAGTGGTCAAAAAAAAAATCCTCCCAGTGAACAGAACTTCAAGTAGTATCTTTGGTTGGCCACTATGTCTGAACTTAGAGAAGGCCAGAAGTACAGATCTACACCAATTCATGAGTAGTTGCTGATGGCTTGGCTAGATAGGGAATTGGAAGACACAGGCCTAAAAGGCTGGTGACAAGGAAGTCTGGGAATTATCTGTGGATGGACCTCTGGGAATGGGTACAGACTGAAGATATTTATGTCTCAGGTTAATGCCCACTGATATGGTTTGGCTCTGTGTTCCCACCCAAATCTCATCTTGAAGCTCCCATAATTCCCACATATTGGAGGAGGGACCCAGTGGGAGATGACTGAACCATGGGGTTGGGTCTTTCCTGCACTGTTCTTGTGATCGTAAGTCTCATGAGATCTAATGATTTTAAAAATGGTAGTTTCTCTGCACAAGCTCTCTCTTTGCCTGCTGCCACCCATGTAAGACATGACTTGCTCTTCCTTGCCTTCTGCCATGACTGTGAGGCCTCCTCAGCCATGTGGAATGACTGTAAGTCTGCTAAACCTCTTTCTTTTGTAAAGTGCACAGTCTCAGGTATGTCTTTATTGGCAGTGTAAAAACAGACTAATACACCCAACAAAGGGTATCCATAGCAGAGGAAGCTCTTATTAATCAAGTTGACAAAATAATGTGCTGAGGTTATCAGTTACATTAATTATAACCTCAGTGCACATTCCCCAGCTACTACACCACTCGCTCAGTGGGTCCATAAATAATGCAGCCACAGCTGCAGGGATAGAGGCTATAGGTGGGCTCAACATCATGGGCTTCCCCTTACCAAGGCTGACAGGCACTACTGCCAACTGTCCAATCTGTCAAGAGCCAAGACCAATATTGTGGCTGCAATATGGCACCAATTCCACGGCTAATAGCCATCTACCTGATGGCAGGTTGACTACATCAGACCTTTCCCATCATGTAGGGGGGCAGAGATTCATCTTCACTGGAATAGACACATATTCTGGATATGGATTGCCTTCCCTGCCCGTAATTCTTCTGCCAGTACCACTAACCAATCCACATACTCACAAAATGCTTTGTCTACCATCATGGCATTTCCCATAGCATTACTTCTAAGCATGGAATCAATTTCACAGCAAATGAAATGCTGCAATGAGTATGAAATTAACATACCCTAATACCCATAAATGGTTAATCTGATTGAAAGGTGGAATGGTTCACTGAATACTCAGTTGACAGTTGGGAGATACCACACTGAAAGGATGGAGTTCCATATGACAGTACATGCTTTGAGTCAGAGTATACAGTTCTAGAAATCACAGGGTAGAAGTGAGAGTGGCTCCTTTCATGATTGTACTTCTCACTCTAGCAATCTCAAGCTTGCTGGTTTGGTGGTCTTAGCTCCCAGGGGATCCTTCAATCAGAGACATAACAATGGTCCCACTGATAATAGGATCTAAGATGAGATTGCCCTCCGGGTTTCTGATGCCACTTAACCAGTAAGCAACAAAAGGTGTAACTATACTGGCGGTAATGATCAATCCTGATTACCAAAGTGAGAATGTATTGCTAGTGCACAGTGGAGGCAAAAGGGACTATTTCTTGAACATAGGAGATTCTCTGGGTGCCTGAGTACTTCCACATCCAATAGTAAAGGCTTATGAAAAATTACAGCAACCAAAACAGGTACCACAGGAGGGCTCAGATTCTTCAGTAATGAGTATTTGGGTCACTCCACCAGGTAAAGAACTCTGACCAGCTGAGGTTCTGGCTAAGAGCAAAAGAAATAAATCTCAATGGACCCACTGAGCAAGTGGTGTAGCTGGGGAATGTGCACTGAGGTTACAATTGCTGTAACCGATAACCTCAGTACATTATTTGGTTTATAGAAATGATGGCTACAGTAGCTTTCAGTATTTTCCATTTTCCTTTTGCATGTATTTATTTGTCCTAATCATTTTCATTTTCTCCTTCCATTTTAACCTAATACACATTTTTGGAGGTTACATTTACAATTCAGTTTTTTTTTTTTTTTGAGACAGACTGGAGTGTAGTGGTGCAATCTCAGCTCACTGCAACCTCTGCCTACCAGGTTCAAGTGATTCTCCTGCCTCAGCCTCCCGAGTAGCTGAGATAGACAGGGTTTCACAATGTTGGCCAGACTGGTCTCCGACTCCCGACCTTCAGCGATCCACCCAAGACAGATTGGTCTGCATGTGGAGCTGTAGTGCTTTAGCTATCCACCTTTAGATGAAAACAACGTATCATGCAGGCCAATCCATCTTGACCTCCCAAACTCCTGGGATTACACACATGAACCACCACACTGGACGCAGTTAGGTCTTTTGGGTAACACAGGATTTGGTGGAACAGTGACAGAACTTGAATAATTCATACAGCCAACAATGGATACAATGACTGCTGGTACTGGGATTCTCATGTTGGGAAAAGGGAGCAAACGTTACTTGTAAGGAAGTATAGCTGTATCTTGTTAGGTGGAAATGTAGAGCTATTCCATTGTTGCTTAGAAGTGTTAAAGAGTACAGAAGAGCAAATGTGGAAGCTGAATAGCCAAAGGGGTGGACTGTGACCATTACCAATTTCTTGCCTCAGCTCCCAATCCATCTGTCATTGCCTGCTCTGTGATAATGAAGCTGGGCCACATGACGATTTCTCCTTATACAGAAGGCTAGAGGAAAGGTTAAGAGGAAAAAAGTATTTGGAGCTCACGCAAAGCTAGAAATCAAGCCTGGTCCTACTAAGCCATATTAGAACACCTCCTCAGAGGGGTCTGGTCTCAGTATTGGGGAAGTAGCATGTTGTTTTGTAAGGGCACTGGAAGGATTCTGGAGGGATTTCTTTTCCTGGTTTGCTCCTTTAGGTAGACACCCTCAGTGCCCGGCTGTAGCAACTCACAGCTTTACAGTGGAATGCCACTAGTGTGGTACCTCCTATGCATGGCTTACCCCCTACCACCTTGGATGACTTCCCAGAAGATTGCCATTGGTGTGACAAACATGGGTGGCTTCCCTGGCACACTCTCACATGGATTTACAGCTACTGTGAGCTTCACCTGGAGGGCCAAGGCTGCATGCTCTCTCGAGGCTGAAATTCAGCTTGACAGAGAGTGGGTGGTGGCTGCTTCCTACATCTGCTGTCTATCTCTGGATTCTTTAAAGTTCTTTTTACTGCTTCACAAATTTCTTAAAATTCTGCAGATAATAATGCCTCATCACTGCAATCCACTGTTACAACTAATATCTCTTCATATCAAACTTTTCCTGTTCATATTGTAACTTCTGTCTCCTGATTGTACTCTGGTTGACACAGACTTGAAGAAAATATGTTTTGAAATCTATTCACCATGGATTAGCAGCCAGTGTATTTTCAGATTAAAACAAAAACCCCTACAAAGTGATAAGGAAAAAAACAGACAATTCACCAAGGAAATAATTTCACTCACTAGAATATTAAAATTTAAAAACTGTTCAGCTATCAAGTGATCTGCTGCTGGTGGGAAGTGGAAAGCAATCTGTGAAAATCCTTAGTGTGGAAACACTATGAAGCAGCTTTCCACGCCTCCATTTCTACTCTGGAGGAAGTCACACATAAAGTGGCAGGTGCAAACATGCTCTGTAAAATTGTTGGTATGAACTAAAAACTGCAAACAGCTTGTCTTTCAATAGGTAAATACCTGTGTAAATCATGGTATCCATACTACATACACCAACACAGAAATTAAGAATCTGGTATAGCCATATACGCTAACTTTGAAAGATCTCCAAAAAGTGAGTGAACATTACAGAATGATAAAAATCTACATTACGTATTACCAAAGGTACATACAATTAAGTGATTATAAATTAACTGCAAATCAGTTACAGTGATTACCTCTGTATCATTTACCACTCTGGTAAGTGGAGGAAGTCAAGAGGGGAAAAGGGCTGGGGATGCAATTTGTTTTTTCTAAGAAGCATATTTAAGAAAATCTATGTATTAATTGAATAATTTAAAGATAATACATTACATACCCTATCTTGAACTTTTTCTTCCAGCTGGGATGAAATGAGATTGGATTCTGGAATGACGAAAACACACTGGAAACACTGGACAAGGCCAGGTGCTGCGGCTCATGTGTGTAATCCCAGCACTTTGGGCGGCCAAGGAGGGCAGATCACCTGAGGTCCGAAGTTCAAGACCATCCTGGCCAACATGGTGAAACGCAAGCTCTACTAAAAAAATACAAAAATTAGCTGGACATGGTGGCAGGCACCTGTAATCCCAGCCACGCAGGAGGCTGAAGCAGGAGAATCACTTGAACCTGGGAGGTGGATGCTGCAGTGAGCTGAGATCACGCCACTGCACTCTAGCCTGGGCAACAGAGTGCGACTCCATCTCAAAAGTTTGTTTCTAATGTTTACCGGAGTCATTAAGCTTACCATCAAATTTTGCATTACTTAAACTAAATATGACTATATGTAAGGCTAATACAAAACCCCAAATTCATTATTTCTAAAGAGAATTATTCAGTCCACCCTTACAGGTTTTAAGGCTTATAGAGGAGTAAATTCTTAGTCCAAGTCCAGTGATTTAAATTAGAACATAATCTGGCCCACAAAATAACAAGAACCACATTTTATAGTCACAGCATGCACGAACCACATTTTACAGTCACAGTAATTTATACCAAATAGTAGCTTGGTTTTTACTTGATATGCAGTATGAACTAAAATGGCAGAAAGTCACAAACTAGCTTTCAGATATGTAAAAACAAGATAGCATTCCTCTCATAAATTATTGGAAAACTACAGCATAATTTCTATCGATTTGTGGACGACCAGCTTGCAAATCACTCCCATAGGTGTACCAAGTCCTCCCTTCACCTATTGCTTCCAAGGCTCTGCTTTCTATTGATATGAATATTTGCCTTAGTTACTATCTGCTAGTATAGAGAAGCAATACAAATTGAGCAGAAAACCCACCCTAAGCGGACTGTTAAGACAAA